GTGCGACAAATATTCAAGGAACAAAATCATATACATACATGCAATGAAATCTATCCCTTACAACGGCCCTCGTGAGACTTCGTTCTAATGAGTTCATTTCATTAGAATCTTATTTAACATGGAACGCTAAGGAAGAAAAATCTTTACATCCCCGACAACTGACAAATATTTTACTAGCGAACGAAGCCAATTATCCGATTTTAATGTCTAACTTCTGGAAACGGTAAATTTTATATATTTCCACACGCGCACACATACAAATAAAAGAACGAAAGAGCATAAAATCAAACCAATGGATCGTAAATTGACACATGACGTTGCTCCCATTGTTATAACCTGATCTATGCCCTTCTAGGATCGCTGACGGGCAAAAGTATAGAGGGGGAAAAAGTTCAGCTTTAGAGACTGTGAACATTAATGAAGGGTCGCTAACTTTTCTCTCCAGCCAGGAGTTTTGCTCTCATTGTTGGGATTGTTGAGCAGGTATATCTGAAGAATGGAGGCCTATTTTTTTCTCCTCTTTTCTCTCTCCGTTCGCAAAGAAATTTTAATGAATTCACGCACGGCAACGTTTAATTTTCATAATGAGGAATGGAACTCGTTGCATATTTATCTGCGACACTCGATAAAATATTCTTTCACTTTCATAGTTTCACAATATTCCGTTCCCTGCAGTGGCTTATCCTTTTCAACAAATACATTTTTGCAATTTAAGAGCTAAGTATACAGACAATGCACGACAAACATTAATGAACTAGTTACTTATACTTCTTATCATCTTTCAGGAAATGCAGCGCCATCGCTATGCAAAATCATCAATCACAGCAGACATCACCAGGACAAAGCCTTCTTCTGAACTTAAGAGAAGAATGATAAAGGGCCTCCCCCCACCTACCAGAATCCCCTCCCCTTTCCCGGACAGAATCTCTCCAATCGCATTTGCATCCTGAAGCAATGGGGAATTTCTTGCTCAGCAAAGATATTCCACACGCCCGAGGGGTCTTTTCCTCGTTCAGACCTTTCTTCATCATAGCATGAATATTTTAGGATTTGCAGGACTACCTTTACTTGGTTCTCCCCATAAATGTTAAGAGAAATAAACTGATAATTTTATGAAGCATAATTTCATAAATGAAGCAAGTAGATTTAACTGAAACACTTAAAAGTTACTTAGTAATTTCACTTCAAATTCTGATGAAAGTTAAAGAACGGTTTCAAAGTCAGTTTCACGCTTTTACTTGCAATAAAAAGATGATGCATTAATTCAGAAAATCTAATGAAAAATAGTCCTTGACAAGATAACTTTTCTTTGTTTTGACTTGTTAAAAGGAAGTTTGCTTTAAACTTTATAATCTCTATAACTTTCTTGATCTAGTTTCGACATTAATAAATATGACCAAACTGAAGACTTCACTTTTTATTCAAGTATCTTATCCATGAAAGAAGAAAATCTGCACATAAGATATAAATCAAACCGCCATATACAGTAAAAAGATACCAATAATAATCTACAAATGAAAATATATTTATAACACCCAGGCAACTCTTTCAACAAACGTCATAGTTACAAACAACAACAGAAATTACAAACAACCAAGATTTGAGGTTCATACAGTGACTCAAGGATAATTCGGTAAGCTACTACACATGATAAACCAAGCGAGACAAGTGAAACATTCTCCCTCCTTGCAATGCCACAACGGTTTTGAAGCATTGGGTTCCTATAATATAGATGAATTTTACAAAGTATTCCAAGTGATAATTCCTGAAATTCTTCATGAGCTCATCAGAAAACGACGTTGATGTGATTTTCATATAAGTGATGATGTAACAAACAGGACATTGCATAACATGGATCATTTCATACATAAGCTTGTATTTTTTTCAAGTACCATGTCTTTCAGATTGTGTTCGCTTGCCACATAGATTTCACAGTCACCAAATGCTTCAACATAAACAATAGAGCAGATAATAATGAGCAAATAACAACTTATCATTGTCGTCCCAACACTTTGTTTTGTGGATATAAAGAATCTGATTCCTGTTTACTGCACAATCTATAAGTGCTCACACTCAGTTTTCATACATCATAAAAATATTTCACTTCATATCAGTTTCACAATATCAGTACAATGCAAGCCTTCCTACTTGGGTCAGGCTGTTTGTTTTGTTTCAAGCACTTCAGTCCAACAAGCAATTATCTAAGAAGGGCACGTGCAGACTGCAGAATCATGGACTCAAGAGGGGATCAAGAAGGAAGTCTCACTACTACAGAAGTATTGGAAACATGCAATATGATGCATTCTATGCTGGGTATGGTTATGTTCTGGGAAGAATGATCTGAAGTTCATCCTTTACTCAGGATTTTAAAAATAAAGCATACTATCCAAACTTTATAACATCACATTTTCTTTTATTTCCCTTCTCTCTGAGTGCTTTTATAATTTATTTGTTTTCAGTTATTACAATTTTAAAAGTTACAACAATTAACTTTCTTATTCTGTTTAGTAACTGCAGTGAGATGAGCTTTAATTACAGTCAATTTCATGTTCCAGACTGAATTATCCATATCAATTCTTCAAACCTTCTATACAGTTATCTTGGATTCAAATGTCATAAAATAGCTGTGTCAAACAGACTTAAAATAAATTATGACAATACCCTATCACTGCTGATAACTGGTTCAGGAAGTATAAGTGATGGAAGATAAAATATTTTACAAATTTATTATTCAACAGTATAATCAGTCAAGCAACAGATTTCGTACAGAGCAAAATATTAAGCTTCCAGATAATGTCAAGACTAAGAAGTTATAAATCCAGCATTTCTCAAGAATCAAATCTTAGGGGGGAAAATCATATTCCTCACATGACTCAAGAAAACCCTTTCACAGACACAGTCAAGAAAAGACATTACAATGACATCACCAACAAAGTCAATCAATTTTACCTTATAACAGACATGGAGATTCACACAAGTTAACCCTTCATTCACACAAGACAAGACTCAATGGTGGAAGGTAACAGAATTGCTAAAATTGGGATAAACTTACCTTCTTCAAATCATGCACAATACAGTATCAAAATATTCTTTATATAATCAATAGAGATTCTTTCATAAACAGGCTACTTACAATATATGGGGAAACATATTTTGATTATAAATACAATATGGTCATAACCAATTTGTAATATTATGTCTTATGGTAATTAAATTAGTTATTATCATAATCAGAATGAGAAACAATTCATACTTCATTTTCAAATAAAAGGTATGATAATGTAAACATTCCATGTTAACCATTCCATTTTGTGATGGATATCAACAATCAATCAGCATGTAAATAAGCTTTCATTTCATAACAACAACAGTAAAGTTAACCTTATCTGCATCAGCATACTTTGATTGTTAATAACCTCACATGCAGTTGGTTAGAGAAGGCAGGATACTAGAAAAAGCAAATGAACTAAAAATTATTGGCTATACTGGGGCAACAGCATCCCTCAGTCATTAAAAAAAGAAATTACAATACCATGCTTGGTTCACCAGTCAATGGTCCTCAAAGTGCAATATATACAAGTGCAACCAAATAAGGTCTTCATGAAATTTGATCCCTTGTGATGAGGTTCATTAGACTTCACTTTCCTGGAAGCTGCACATGACTTGTGCTACCACTAAAGCTCATTCCAATTCATACACAACATTTTGGAATATGGTTTTAAAAGAAAATTAGTTACAATTTAATCATAGCACCTGGCTAAAAACTGCTGATACATAAAAATATCAGAACAGTAGTTTTGTATTAAAGACTACATAAAACATTCACTTGCAATTATGAATATACATTTATTTCTCTGGATTATCTCTTTAATGCTGAATAACTAAAAAGTACATAAATAATTGGTCAACTGCACTGCAGTCTCGTCAAAATTTTCATTTAAAAATGAAGCGTGGGAATTTTATTTTTCACAAAATTCCTTTTTTTTCTTTGATAATTTACTTAAAATTGCCTATTTACTTCAAATACTTTCTATCATATCTAACATTTTGTTTTCAATCTTCTATCAATCCCTTGAAGGTTTAAAATTTAAAAGATGCAGGTTTTAGTTTAAAGCAATTGAAAAATAATCCCACTTCTCGAATCAATTCATAGTTGTGGGAAGTCATTATCTAAATTGCGTAAATGCTCGGATGCTCATATCATGCATAATATATTATGTACTACATATCTTGTATGCAGTTTCAGAAGATTTTCTTTAAAGTTACAACCATCTACAGATCTTAATGTTTATAAAATCCATACAAAAAGTGAGGAGACTAAATGAAGTGACACATTTACTGATGTCCGCTTTCTTGTAAACCCATATTCTTAAGGATTCTAAATCATAGAAAATCTAAAAACTGATATTAACTAAGAGATTACTATCAAAGAACAATCTATATTACATATGTTTTAAGAGAAAAAAAGCAATTATTTAATATCCATGTCTAACATGATAACTTATTGACGAAAGAATGCTAATTTTCAATCTTAATATTTGTTGCATACCTTTCAAAAGGTGCATATATATATATATAACAATCAATATTCTTTTTCTTATTTGTTGCTTCACTCAGCTTTAAATCATAAACCTTTCTACATTCCAAGTTTGTTCCCATGGTGGTCACCATCCTGTCAAAATCTTTTGAAATAATTTAAAACAATTTAAATGAAAATATTAGACCACTTCTTCCACTCCTCATTAGAAAAATTATCAAGATACCATGTTAACATTCTCCGGAAAAAAAATTATAGTAAGCGAACTGCATGTTGGCAGCAACAAAATACTATCAGATAAGGACTAATAGAAACAACAACACAGTAGTAATCAGGCTTAAAAGCTCTCCGATTTAACCAGTGCAGAACCTCCAGGAGACACCCCCAGCATCCCAGGGCTTTCAAACCCTGTCTGATAACTCTCGCCATCATTACCCTGAGAAGGATCAGTGGCACTACTCACCTGACCAGTAGATTCCAGAACGCTGATTGGTTTGGCTACAGCGATTGAAACAGGGCCTTTTGGTGCTCCCTTCAGGGCTGCTACTGCTTGATCAAGAGTTGCGTTTTCTAGGTTGGTTCCATTGACAGCAATGAGACGGTCACCAGGTATCAAACGGCCATCTTTCTCTGCTACTCCCCCGGGAACAAGTGAGCGAATCACTATCACTGTTTCTTGTGGGTTTAGTGGATCCTGAAAGAGAGAGGAACCATACAATTATACCTTGTGAAGAGAAACAATATCAAATGGGTAAAAAAATCGACTTCTGCCTTCACCTATGCATTCTCAATTTACCTCTTCATTTGTATATTTTACTTATCTATTTTCTTATCAGATATCTTTCCACAATAATCCAAAAATTGTAACACAAAACTATTTTGTTATATTCTCAACAATTAACACTAAATCAAGGACTTACAAAAAATAGGCCTACCTGATAATCCAAGATAGAGAAGCCCAATCCCCTGTCGCCCTTCATTAACTCGATGATCTGAGCCTCAGAGCTCCACATGGCCAGCCCAGTTAGTGGTTCAAGGCTGCGGCTCTTCATGCGATTGAAGGAAGTATCATTTGTGGCTGCAGTGGCCGAGGATGCCAAGGATCCATCAGACTTGGCCTTGACGAGTCGTTCCGATCCAGGGATAAGATTTTGGAGAGAACCACCAAGAATATTCTGCAAGAAAACAATGTAAATATAAGCTTCACACTCTCCAAATCCAAATCAAAATATATGGTCAATATAACCATGAAACAGAAAATAAGAACTAATAATGTACTACCTCTACTATTACATACATATTATATTCTTACATCTTCTAGATATTAACAAACTAATACACCAAAGAACCACTGAACTAGGGTACCCATTCATATATCAACAACAGTGACAACCAAGGCAATATATGACAGACTGTCTTGATGTATTATTTATGATGAAAAAGAATTACTACTATATGTAAGAGACAGTAAAGATGTTCTCAAACTAAACTATAAATGGGGAGCCAACAATCAAACAGAATTTTGACAGATACTTTAGAAACATTTTGAAGTAATGATGCCCTATTTAGTTTTTACAACAGATCTCTCATTTAACAAAACAATTAGTATAATTAGCATAGAAAATATGAAAATACAAATTTAAAGACAAAAAATAAATGGTATAAGATACCAAATGCTGATAATTTCTAGAAGAAATTTTCAATATAGATACTGTATGATCAAAGATGAAATGAAACCTATCTAAAATCAATGTACCCTTTTAAGTTCGAATGGAAACTATGTGTCCAAAGCCAATGAACGAGGACAAGAAAACCTGGAAACTCAATGAATATTAAATAAAAATGCAATGAAAGGTAATATTTCAGCTAATCATCTCCACTAGCTTGCCACAGAAGTTCCAGAATGAAACTAAATTAACAACTAGTAAATAACACAGTTTAAAACCCTTTCAACTCCTTGGTTACCCTTCAAAAATTTAAGGATGTTCCTTTCCCTCTCAGCAAATAATGAAATATATTCTACTTTCTTAGCTTCCATGTTCTCCTTAGACCTGGTTGTATTTACAGTAATCATGAAGCTTTGGACACAATTACATTATCATCAATACTCAGAAGAAACCATACATGAAATAGCAATTTATTATTCAACTTCAATGCTTGGTAAGACTTGAATGTTATATAAAACCTGGTACTTTCTTATTAATAGACAATAAAAAATCAGCAAAAATAATTTCTCAATCAAAATACCATAAAGAAAAGTCTGGTGTATTTAAATCATGTCTTATGGCCTGCCATATTAGGTATGCAGCAGGTTAAACTTATGTACTTCATAAAAAAGAAAATAAAAAACATGACTTGGATTTCCTGGTATAAACTCCATGTAAATAAAAAATAATAATCCTTACCATTATTTTGTTTAAATAGAGTTAACCCATTGATGCTGGGAACATGTAATGTCCACTGTAGTTTTGCTTTGTGAATGGTGATAACACATGTATGGCTCCACTAGTAGTCAGCCACCAAAGAGCCAATCAATAGGTGTACTTGACTTTTCCAGATTTCCCCTTTCCAGGATATTATTTTTCTAATCATCATTATTAACATTATGGTTATTAATATGTTATCAAGAATACTAGTACCAATAAAAAATATATATATATATTTCCAAAATTCAAGGAAAAGGTAAAGCAAATGTAATAAGTAGGACTAATACCTAGTTCCTTGATGACTACGCTATTGTGCAGCAATCAATGCAGGTGTACAATTAATAAACTAAAATCATAATAGACATGGAATTTAGTTACATACTGTCCCCAAAATCAATCAGTTAACTAACATGCTTTTGGAAATAGTATTCTCTAAACCAAAAACTTTCATTCTTGATAATCATTCATCCTTGTAAAAAATAAGAGCCTATTACAACCAGAAACATAATCTGCAACTGTATACATACAAAAAATAAGTATGCCAATTAAGGTAAAGCACTAAAAAACAAAAATGTAATATCTAAAATAACTATATCAACTCCTCTCTAATTATATGTAGTCTACCATTCCCAACTTTACTATTGCTGTTTGCCTCTCTAGTTAAAAAGTGTTGTTACCCCTGGTGACCGTTTTTTCATTTTAAAATGCAATTAACCTGAGGTCACATCACTACAGGCGACGTATATCTCAAAAATTATTATAGAGTTTTAAACCAACTTTTAAAACTCATCAATTTTTTTAATGTGTACATTTGTTTTGATGATAAAACATCAAACTGCTGAAAATATTCAGCTTTAGATGTTAAATCCAGTATATACAACCTAATACATATAAAGAGTAATTATCAAGGATATTATCACTCAGTATGTCAGAGTACTTGTGGCCTGAATTATCTGTACTGAAAGCCATAATCAAAATGCATGCCACTGGCATGCCATCACTTTAATTGTTGGAAAAGTGTTATAATTAAACATAACTATATGTTAGAGATAAAAGAAAGTTTCAAATCAATGGCAATCTACAGTATAACAGTAGACGCAGTTTAACAGAAGACATCCTTATCATCATCTATGTTGTAAGAGGTATGTACAATACAACGCATTTGTTAAAAACTTGGTTCAATATAGTACAACTATTTTACAAATACAAAAATAAAAAGAGGAAAAAATATATCTAAAAAGTACTCATATATTTTTTAGCCCCACGCCACCCACCGTTTCACAAATGCATCAATCATGTTCAGGAAGGGAGAGAGAGAAAGCAAATTAAGTAGTGCTTTAAGAAAAAGAAAAATCAATAATTCAAAGAAGTGACTGTAACTGAGGTGTTACACTAGTGAAAATATTACCATTCTTTGGTCCAAACATAGGAAAATGTATAATGCATAGTTTAAAAAAAAAACTATACAGTAGTAATCAGGTATATAGGGTCCAAAGAAATCCAGGTTAGAAAAAAAATATAAAAAAGAGAAAAGACAAAGTTTTACTTGGGAACACATTTTCTGGAAAATCTTTTTGCTTTGGTGTATATCAAGATAAATGTTAATGTTTTATTCATTAGTGTATACTAATATACAAGTTCTCATACTCTCCTCTAAACATACAATTACTTAATGTTTGAAGTTAAGTAACAGAAGAACAGTTTCCTCTTTACCTTGTTTCTTATATGAAAAACTTTCTACTGGCAATAAAAATATCAAAGAGAGTACCAAAGGTCTTTTAATGATCTTTGTATAAACAGAGTTTTGTAAACATTCAAAAATTTTATTTTCATATAACCTACAAACACCCTTCCTAGTGAAAAGTTGTAATGAATTAAAACATCTATTCATGAATTCTACTTCACAAAGAAAATAATTTCTAACTTGCCAAATAGTCACATCTGCTTTACAGCAAGAAAAAAAATACTTTTTCCATTCTCTGGATTATCCCTGTAAGTTCAGACCTTATTTATAAGAAATATTAAAATGGTTTCCCAAGAGAGCAAAAAATAATATCTTTCTTATATTAATAATAAATAGGAGACCAAATGGACTGGATGATATTTTTAGATATTCACAACATAGGTATCAATTTTCCAGTAAAAACTGAGGCCAGTAAGGTAAATAGTGCCAAAACATACCATGGTAATAAAGATTCAGCTAATACCATGAGTACCCAAGACAAGATTGTTAATATACACTGTCAAGAATACATTTTCCCCTGTCCTTGACCACACTAAGAATTCTTGTCACTTCAACATATAAAACAAGCTCTTTCATGAGGTCATGCTTACCCTAGCAGCAAAGGTGTCCCGATCAGCTGTAGGAGCATCAATAGGGTGAAGTGGAGGTGGTGCACCTGGGGCTCGTCGACCACAAACCAGGCGCACAGATCCTGGGAGTTCTTTCAGTATTCCAACAACTTCAACATGGTTTAGGCCAAGCAACTTCTGTCCATTAACCTGTCAAGAAAAATGAACTCATGTAAAATGGTAAGCAAAATAGACTATCATACAATGTCATTATCAAACCAATATTTTTTGTAACTTTATATCAGAATCATCACTATCATAATGTTCACCCTTTGGCATAACTCTGCCCAAATAACTACTTAGGAATAAACTTCTACTACTAACAAAAAAAGAAAGAAGAAAAAATAAAGTAGCAGCAAAAATTCTATGCAAATTTGCCATCACCCTCTGCTTTACAATTTTTTTTTTTTTTCAGTGGAATATGAGAGTTTGCTCTAAGGATTAAGCAAGTTAATCTTCTTGAGAGATGTTGTATTATCAGATCTCTCTGTTTGGCACATACAGCTAATGCTCATCACACAAACAAAAATGAACTAGACTTTACTAATCAATGCATGGGATGGATACCTGTTTCGATCTGATAATAGCTACACTATTTTGAAGCAAATAAAAGTTAATTTTCTAATTTTCCAGACAACACAAAGGATCTTCTGTAACAATTTTTTGAAAATCTTAAAACAACCACTGTATTCCATATAAACAAAAAGCTAAACACTGAAGCTAATAACACCCTTGTGTGAAATACCTCTAAGAGCTCGTCACCACTGCACAGACGCCCATTCTTTCCAACTGGGCCATCGGGCAAGATTGAGCGGATGTAGTGGTGTGGACGGACCTCCCTTCCTCCTTCTACGTCCACTGTTCCCTCGAGGCTAATGCCCAGGCCACCTCCTTCTTCAAACTTGCTTAATTGGGCAACCTTAAAACAGGAGAGAAAAAAACAGGTTATCAAAGCAGACATTTGTAGATATAACATGTGCAGGAAGGTGCTGAAGGAAAATAAAAAAGGAGAGAAAGAAAGAGTAAGAGAGAAAAGATAAGGATGAGGAAGACAAACAAAAAGGAGGAGGAGGAGGATCAGGAGGAGGAGGAGGAGGGGGGGGAGATAGGGAGAGAGAGAGAAAAGGAGGGGGAGGAGGAAGGGAAGGGGGAAGGGGGAAGGGGGATTGGGGAAGGAGAGAGAAGGAGAGAGAGAGAGAGAGAGAGAGAGAGAGAGAGAGAGAGAGAGAGAGAGAGAGAGAGAGAGAGAGGGAGGGATAGGGGAGGAGAGTGGTTGAGGGAGGGATTGGACAGAGGGACTGAGAGGGAGGGAAAGGGAGATTAGGAGTTAGAGTGGGAGAAGTAGAGGTAGAGGTCGAGGGAAAAGGAGAAGATGCAGAAAGAAAAGAAAAGGGAGAGAAAAAAATGGGAGAAGATGTAAAAGGAAAACTAAAAGATGAGGATGATGATAAAATTAAATAAGGTGGGTGAGGATGAGGAACTGGGCAAGAAAGGGAGAAAGATGGAGAATAAGAAAGGGAACAGGATGGGGAAGAAAAAAGAGGGAGAGGGAGAGAGAAATAGAGGGAAGGAGTAAGAGGGAGAGGGATAGGGATAGCAATAAGGATACAAATTATGATAGGGATAAAGAGTGGGAGTGGGGAGAGGAAGCAGGGGTTGGGGTGGGACAGGTAGAGAGACAGAGAGGGAAAGAGAAGATGCAAGAGGAGGATGAGTGTAGCCAGCTATATCTATATTAAATTACTGAAATATGCTTGGTTACAATGTTGAGATACATAAAGAGCAAGAGAAAGGAGGAGGAGAGAGAGGAGGAGGAGGAAAGAGGAGGGAGGAGGAGGAGAGGAGGAGGAGGAGGAGGAGGGAGGAGGAGGAGAGGAGGAGAGAGGGAGGAGGAAAAAGAAGAAGAGGAGGAAGAAGAGGAGAGGAGAGGAGGAGGAAGAAAAGGACTAGGAGGAGGAGAGGAGGAGGGAGAAGGAGAGGGGAGGAAGAGGAGAGGAAGAGGAAGGAGGAGGGGGAGGAAGGGAGGGGGAGGAGGAGGATGAAGGGGAGGAAGAAAAGGAGGAGGAAGAGGAGGAGATGGCATAGAAGGAAAGGAGGAGGATGGCCAGAAGATTATCAGAGGAAAAACAGAAATATGTACGAAGACATGACAAGTAAAAACTGAGGGGAAAAGTAAATGTAATTACATACAATGATACATTAAATGAAGTGGTATAACAGGGAATGAAAGAGAAAACTAATGATGAGATAATTAAATGTTCTAACATTTACTGTGCATTTAAAGCACATAGTTTCAAACTTCATTTTTCATTAGTCTGATTACATTACTAAAGTGCGCCTATCAAAACTTTCCACTGACATTCGAACAGTATCCATTTTTGATGAGTTCCCTGTTGATCGTAGTTTTAAAAGGATCATGAAAGGAATTTGATATCAGTAATCATACTAGACACTGATGAAAAACAACTACAAAAATATTCTTCGAAAAAATTAATAACACAACCTCTATTTGCCACACGTATCAATTCATTCGCATCGTTGATACTTACGACTATCTCGAACTCAGGTCCAACGATCCTTGACCATTTCCGCTTGATGGCATTCTCCACGGAGGGTCGCAGCTCACCAGAGTAATTGCTGTCTATCATCAACTCAATGTCTTCGAGTCGGATGTCTGTACTGGTACCGGAGGACAACGGAGGGACGCCAGAGGACAGTTGAGGGATGGTGGATGACAGCTGAGGCACATTGGTGGTGGTCGCATAGGAGGAATTCATCCCAGAGGATAAAACTGGGGGCTGCGGCGGCTGGTTGGAGATGGTGGAGAAGGTAGGCACGTCGGCGATGATTGTTGACGAGGAGGTAGGTGCAGAGAGTGCTGGGTTGATGGCCTCCACCATGACTGGGTCTTCCACATTCATTTCGAGGTCCCCGAGAGCTGTTCGAATGGCCTCGCTGCTGGGGAGTTCGCCCATCTGTCGAAAGTGAGGAGGCAATACAGTGCTCAGTATCTATGAAAGTATTTGGCGTAATTAAGTCATACATCTAACAGATTTCCTAAATGATATATAAAAGAAGAAAAATATACGTATATATATAATACTTTATTAGCTGATAAGCCTTTAAACTAAAAAAAAAAAGTTTATTGTTAGCAGAAAAAAATATATTCCAAAAAGACTTTATGACTGTTTTTTGTTAACTATAAACATACATTTGGTTAAAAAGGGCACAAACGTGGTAAAAAAAAAGTCACTACCTACTTTCCGCACAACTACTCAATGTGTTTCTGTCAAAGTGGATCATGCAATACTGATTTTCAAATTCATTACGTACAAAAGTGGGTTAAAAAGCTTTGGTACGTATCAATTTTGAGCATAAGATGATGGTCAGTCTTCTGTGTATGTCCAAACATATAAACTAGAAAAAAAATCGTAAAACTTCTACTACTAAAATCATAAACTTTTGCAACACAATGAACCATGTATTGGTACTCATGAAGTACTCGCATGTTAAATATAGTTACACCAAAAAAATCAACAATGATAACAGAAAGTAAATATATATATATACAAAATCAATGGAAAGGGGCCGGTCCTTTGTGACATACACCGTGGGACGTTTTGTTTCCGCCACAATTGCAGACTTTGCAATTTACCATCATACCTCTGGATCCATTCCGAAGGCAAATGTTGAAGTAATTTCGAAGGGAGGGAGATACCATGCATTGTCTTGTGTCTCATCAAGTACAGTTTCTAACACGAGTAATGAATATCATCTTAACGAACACAAAATGTGGGAGAGAGAAATAAGAAGTCTTAAAGACAATGAAAGAGAGCACAGACAGGACGGAAGAAAGAAAACGGAAATGCGAGAGGAGAGATAATGAGAAGAAAAGGCAGGGGAAGGGGAATGGGGTAGGGGGAAAGGGGAGGGGGATTGAGACAGGGGAAGGGGGAATGGAGCGAGACACAAAGAGAGGAGGGACCAAGAGTAAGGGTAAGGGAAGAGGCAAAAGAAGAGGAAAGAGGAAAGGGGAGCGAGACGGACATAAAAAAGGGACAAAAAGAAAGAAATTAAAGAAATAGATACTTTGCGTCGTTGTAGGCCTATGTGTATTTGTCAGCGTCAGCGTGAGTTTTAAACACGATTTCTGAAAAATCACTTCAGAAGGCAAAAAGTCACACGCATGCTGCACATTTTCATTTTCACAACGAATTGTTCTGAATATACGAATACTAATTCTGTGTAGTCTGTGAATGAGTATGATAGAAATGCGAATATACAAGTTTGTGAGTTTGCGTGTGAATGTACGTGATTATGTGCGCACCAGTGAGAACTGTAAAAGATGTGTGAGAAAGTGGGCGTGCATTATATATACGTGCGGGTAGTACGTGCGAGTGCGTCTGTGTCACACGCTATGACACGAGTCAGCGCTCGGGTGTGCACGCAAAAGGGGGAGCACGGCCACTGCAACTCCACACACTGTGCATACAACCGCAGCCACGTACAGGCATTCCTACCCTGGCGCGGAACCTGAGGGCCTGCGGACGCCCGGACTGGGGGTACAGTTTGGCCCGGGACTTTGCACCCATGTCCGGCATCTGAAGCATTGTGAAGCTCGGGTTAATATGCTTCTGTTCACCGCCCTTCCCCCAAAGGAAAGCAACTGCTGTCTCCTCTTCTACCCTGACCTTTTGTAAGTTAAACTGAGAGCCCGGATTTAAAATATCACTCACTAGGGACACATTCAGGATTGATAATCTGTGAATCTATATATACAATGGGCGGTATCATGTCTCATGTCAGAGTGAACGATAAAGCTTTAGGAAAGACAATTCACAACAATCTGTAAGGTAAATCATAATATACATAGCCTGCATATTACAAAATAAATATTAACAGGAGAGAGCTCATCCAGCTTTCTACTAGAGCAAATACTGATAGTTCATGACAAAACGTATATTGACTGCACATCACGGCATAGACGACCCAAACAGCACATGTTTGCTGAGGCAAGCATGTTACATGTACAGCATTTGTCCGTTACAAACATGCTCGAAATTACATCCCCGAACAGTATAAAGTTAGAGCCTTTCGTGTTGACTTTTCATAAATAGACACGTGAGCGCACAATAAACCGCGCGCATCTGCAGCTATGCCGGCCATTATGCGTACAATATCCACAATCCGAATTTACTCCACTGCAATACTCGCACACTGCAGCCGAATTACTCGTATACGCTAATAAGATTCGATAAATACAAGGTATTTGTGAACTATACTGTCGTTAAATTAAAGGCTATTGCTCTCCGAGCCAATGGAATGTCATGAAAAAATGCACCATTTCCCTAATTTGGCCGGGGACTAATCACACTGGAAGATATCATACGAAAAGTTTCACCTTCAAAACTAATTTTCTGATTCGCATTTTCTATCTGGACTTTCGTATAAAACAAACCATTTTCTTTAAAATAATTTTTATCTTTTCTTTTCCAAAACAGACTTTACGAATAAAAACATCCATTTGGTATAAAGTCTAACATATGATGAGGGTAGATCAAACTCATTCACAAAGTATATAACGTCTGTTTGGTTCTTGGCGTTTCTACTGTTCCTTTTCAATTATTCGCAATGCCCTTTCTAGTCGCCACTCGCCACATAATACAAGAATGGGGGCGGAGGGGGAGGCGGAAGGAGGAAGGGGGGAAGCAGAGGGAAGGGAGCAGGGGAAGGAAGAAGCAGGGAAGGGAAGAAGGAGGGGGAAAGGAAGGAAGGAGGGGGAAGAGAGGAAGATGAGAGGGGAGGAAGGAGGGGGTCGAGGAAATGGAGAAGGGAAGGGAGGAAGAAAAAGGGGTGAAGGGGGAGGAGGGGCAGAGGGGGGGCTGCAAATGTCACTATTGCATCCCGGCTGGCGGTGAGACCAAGCCCGAGTCTTGTGTATCACAGAACTCGAGAAAACTTGGGAGTTCCCAACTGACTGACTTTCTAATCCTCGTCCTGCTCTGGTGTTGACAATATGCCGGGGTCCTTTCTTGATTGAAGGCCGTTTTTAAAAAAACCGACTTACTAAAAACATAAACAAATAAGAATACACTCAACAAACATACAAACCAACCAAACAACATACACACACAATGTTTTTCTTTTTTTGAAAACCAGTCATCATATAAAATATTCAAAATCCGCATACTGTAAACATTTACTTAGTTAATAACCGAAGCCGCAATTAACTTAACTTGTAAATGAAACACGCTACCAAAATGCATCTCCATCGAAGCGTCAGATATAACAGACCGGTTGCCACGCACGCATTCCATCGCCACACGACCGGAGACCGAAAAGTGTGCGCGCGCAATATCCATCTATCTCTCCATTCATCCATCCATCCATCCATCCATCCATCCATTCATTCATCCATCCATCCATCCATCCACCCATCCATTCATCCATCCATATACATACATAAATTAAATGAGTTTCTGAGCACGTGCATTTGAGAGCCATTGCTCAGGTGCCGCCCTCCTTCCCGCCTTGCGCCTTCTCCGAATTTCGTCTCGGGGGGGGATGTACGCCATTAGCATTTCAGATAATTGAGATACTTCCGTCGCTCGAGTGTTCATTATCAGTTCTCCCTCGGCCTAGGAGTCCATTTCGCCCTTTCATTCATTCTAGCTGTTCATTCTGCCACTCATTCTGCAGTTTTCACTCTTTCTCATTCTATTTTTTCATTTTCATTTTCTCTCCATCTATTTTTTCCCACTCGGTGTCTGATTGCTTGGCTGCCATTCCGTTTCATCTCCTTCTCTTCGCCTCTCTCTCTCTCTCTCTCTTTCGCTCTCCTTCCTCTTCTCTACACCTTTCGTTACTGCTCTTATTTTCATTCAAAACGCATATTTACCAAATGACACTGTTGATGAAACACAAACAGAAATGAAAACTATCAAACTCCATTCCTTAAATCTAACCGGTACATGACACGTGATATTTGAAATCTAATCGCGCTCCACGTAGTTAGTCGTCGGTCTAATAAAAAAGGGTTGCTGATTTACATAGAGAAACCCAAGCGAAAGTCGAGAAAACAAGTCTGACAGAAAATCTTTTTTCCCGGTTTTTCTTTCCCTTCAGCCGAAAAACCGAATATCTTCCGGCAGCGAGGCAAGCCCATCCTACTTGTGCCCGAACATATGAGCAAAGGTTAAATGTTTTTCCAACATATATTTTGACGAATCATTTTTTTTCCTAGCAGATTTTTCGTCGACTGATCCGCGCACATGAATGATAACAATGTTCCCTCGACCCACTTCGCGAGCGGATAGAATATCATGAAAACAAAATTTCAGTATATTGATGTCAGCGTGGCGTGCGCAAGGGAAACAAGTTTACGTTCTCTCTCTGTCTCTCTCTCCTTCTCATACACATGTATAACAAATACATACATATATGCATAAAAGCATACATACATACATGCATGCATACATATAAACATATACACAAGCATATACATACGCATGCGCGCGCACACGTACACACAAACACACGTACACACACACACACAAACACACACACACACACACACACACACACACACACACACACACACACAACACACACACACACACACACACACACACACACACACACACACACACACACAACACGTACACGTACACACACACAAAAAAAAAAAAAAAAAAAAAAAAAAAACTTTCCCGTAACAAGCCGAGGCCGGGCGGATCATTGGACACACTCTCAGAATACCGTTCCCGAAAAGGGAAGAAAATATTCGAGGGGAAAGGGTAAAATGTTGAAGATATTATGAGGGAGGAACACCTCTCACATACCAGCTGCCTTGTCCCGAGATCGGAGAGCAGCGCCGAAGGAGAGGAAAGAAGGAGGACATTTCCCTTCCACGCTTCTTCCTCTTCTTTCTCTTCTTCTACCCCTCCTTATTCCTCCATACGTTCAAAAATTTCCTACGTGACTTCGTTTGTCTTTTCTTTCAAGTCTTTTCTCGTCGCCTGCACCTCCTCCTATAAGCTTCTTTCCCACTCATGATATCCAGCTCTACCTCTATGCTCCTTAGAATTAATATACATCTTCGATACTTCACCTACTTCACCCCTTCTTTCCCCTTTCTCCTTAGCAAATCTATCTCTTCTATCCACACCAAGTGAAAAATAACTTCCTCTACTCATTTCTCTAAAAATCTACCCTTCTCCGCCCATCAATTCCTCGGAAAATCTACTCCTCTACCTTTATCTGTTCCTCGAGAAACTTCCCATCTCCTTCTACCTGCACCCCAGAAGGCCCACTTTCCCTTGTCTGTCCAACCCTCGAGTGTGAGCGTGACAGAAGGCGTTGTATTGTAAAGACATATTAGTTTGTGACGTGAAGTGTAGCCGCAGGTCGTGAAAGCGGCCGGGAGCCTGGCGTGTAAGGAAGGACGGTCTGAATATGCCTGAAAGAACGGACCTAAAGAACGAACGTAAACAATGGACGCGTTGTAGATGCCAGGCACACAATAACGACGTATGTGTCTCACGTAAGACCAGGAAGTGTATGTAAACGGCAAAAAGAAGTGAGGGAGGGAGAGGGGGGAAGGAGGGGAAGAGAAGGACACACACAAAGGACAACGCGTATGCCCCCAAAGTGTGCCAGGAGGAGTGGAGTAAACTTGGCCCTGGTAAGCCAAGGAGTCTCAGGCATTCATGGAGAGTGCCCGGGGGAGGGGAGTGTGCCAGGGGGACGCATGAATTGTCACTTGCACGGCTCAACCATCTAGCCTGTTGACACAATCTCTGCTGTTAATGGACTTGAAATATTGTTTTTTTTTTATTATTACATGATTTCATCCAAGTTAGAGTGGCTGGTGAAAATAGAAGAATAGGAGAAAAAGAGGAAAAGGAAAAAGAGGAAGAAGAGAAGAAAAAAGGAGAGAAGGTGAAGAAGAGAAAGAAAATAGAGAGGGTAGAGGAGGAGGGAGGAGGAGGAGGAGGAGGAGGAGGAGGAGGAGGAGGAGGAGGAGGAGCGAAGGAGAAGGAGAGAAGAGAGGAGGAGGAGGAGGAGGAGAGGAAGGAGGAGAGAAGAAGAAGAAGAAGGAAGAAGAAGAAGAAGAAGAAGAAGAAGAAGAAGAAGAAGAAGAAAAGAAGAAGAAGAAGAGAAGAAGAAGGAAGAAGAAAGAAGAAGGAAAGAAGAAAGAAGAAGAAGAAGAAAAAGAAAAGAAGAAAGAAAAAAAAAGAAAAAGAAAAGAAAAAGGAAAAGAAAAAAAGGAAAAGGAAAAGAAAAAAAGAAAAAGAAAAAGAAAAAGAAAAAAAGAAAAGAAGAAGAAGAAGAAGAAGAAGAAGAGGAAGAAGAAGAAGAAGAAGAAGAAGAAGAAGAAGAAGAAGAAGAAGAAGAAGAAGAAAGAAAGGAGGAGGAGGAGGAGAAGAAGAAATAAGAAAAAAAGTAAAAGAAAAAGAAAAAGAAGGAGGAGGTAGGAAAACAAGAATATGAATAATAATAACAAGAAGAAGAAAAAACAGGAACAAGAATAACAAGGAGAAGAAGAAAAGGTATAAAGGAAGGGTAAAAAAACGAAAAGTGGAAATTGGCGATAACATAAAAAACTAAACTTAAAACCACAACAAAAGCCTGAGCTTGGAAGAGCAAAAAGGCAAAAGAGCAGAAGAAAAAATCGATAAGGAAGAACTGAAGCGGAAGATGAACTAAGAAGGAAGTCTGAGGATAAAAAAAAGTAACTGCCAGAAAGATTTGAATAAAAATGAGAGAAATAGAGAAGAAGAGAAAGGGAAGAAGTAGGGAAGAAACGAGGGAGAGGAAGTAGTTGTGGGATGTGGGAAGGGGGGGGGGGAGAGAAAGAGAGAGCGAGCAAGGGAGAGAGAAAGAAAGAGAGAGAGCAAGGGAGAGAGGAAGAGAGTGCAAGGGAGAGGGAGAGAGAGGAGAGAGGGATGGGGAGAGAGAGAGAGAGGATGGGAGAGAAGAGAAGAGAGGAGATGAAGAAGGAGATGAAGTAGTTATGGATGTTGGAAGGAGGGAGAGAGAAAGAGAGAGGGGTGGGGGGGAAGAGAAGGCAGATGAAGAGGAGAGGAGTAGTTGTGGGATGTGGGAAGGAGGGAGAGAGAAGCGAAAGAGAGCAAGGGAGAGAAAAGCGAAAGAGAGCAAGGGAGAGAGAAAGCGAAAGAGAGCAAGGGAGAGAGAAAGCGAGAGAGCAAAGGAGAGAGAGGGAGAAGGAGGGGAGGGATGGGAGAGAGGGGGGTAGAGAGGGAGGAGGGAGAGAGGGAGAGGGAGAGGGGAGGAGGAGAGAGAGGCAGGGAGGGGGAGCAGGGAGGGAGGCAGGGAGGGAGAGAGAGGAGAGAGGGAGAGAGAGAGAGGGAGAGAGGGAGAGAGGAGGGAGGGAGGGAGGGAGGGAGAGAGGGAGGGAGAGAGAGAGAGAGAGAGAGAGAGAGAGAGAGAGAGAGAGAGAGAGAGAGGAGAGAGAGAGAGAGAGAGAGAGAGAGAGAGAGAGAGAGAGAGAGAGAGGAGAGGGGGAGAGAAAGAGAGAAATAGCGAGCGAGAGTAAAAGAGAAAAGAGAGAAAAATATATAGATTGATAGATAGATGGAGAGAGATTAAGAGAGTGAGGAGTGAGGAGAGAGAGGGAGATGAGAAAGAGAAGAGAAAAGACATGGGGAGGGAGGAGGGGGGAGGGAGGGAGGGAGGGAGGGAGGAGGGAGGAGAGAGAGAGAGAGAGAGAGAGAGAGAGAGAGAGAGAGAGAGAGAGAGAGAGAGAGAGAGAGAGAGAGAGAGAGAGAGAGAGAGAGAGAGAGAGAGAGGAGAGAAGAGGACCGGTTCGGCCTTTAACAAAGAAACGGAAAGAAGGCGAAAAGGAGACAAAAAGCGAATTAAAGACGAGAAAGAAGAGAATGGGGAGAAAAGAGCATGGAATATGAGATAGTGCAAGGGGGGGAGCGGGGTGAAGGGGTGAAGAAGGAGGGTGGTGGAGGTGGGGGGGGCGCCTGGGAGAGATGAGAGGACTGGGGCGGCGTGTACAAACTCCCCGGGTTTACCTCCTCCACACTGTATACAAACATTCCCTTCCCTTACACCCCCTACCCCCGTCCCCCCTCTCCCCTTTCTCTTGCCTTCCTCCTATTCAAGCACGCTACGTCTATGCACGCATACAAACGCTTGTAGGTTTATTCACCAACATACACAAATACGCACACACATGTAACCCAACTCAGGCGCTCTTGCATAAACGTACGTTTGGCATACGCGCGAGATCCAGCATGGCGCATAAAGGAAGCTATGTCAAATGTAATTTATTATTCCAAGTTTAAATCTGAAATGTATATACATCTCCTCTTCCCTGCTTTAAAATGCAAAGGGTCTTTACAGTTTAAAAATAAACTCATCCCAGAGCAAACATAGATCATTAATCATAAACACTCACATAAATACCAGCGGAAGAAACTGTAAATAAAGCCACACACTCTTCACCTACAAAGCTAACCGTTTCGCAACCTCCCTCCGCTCACGTCTATGTATCGCGACAGAGATCCTTAATTCCGCTCCTGTCCCGCGTCCCCGGAGACGACCATCTCCATATGCGTTACGGCGAAACAGAAATCAATCAAGATGCATGTCAAGGATAGGATTACCTGTCAGGTTTTAATCCCCCATCTAATCAAGGGAGGTGAAGAAGGGTGATGGATGGCTGTGAGGCTTCCGCGGCGGATGTATGAGAGAAGGGAGAATGGATGATGATTACAGGCCGAGGAGAGGAGGAGAAGTACTCACCTGAGCTCTGGGTGGGTTGGGCGTGGTGGGCGTGGTCTTGAGCTCCGAGTTCGCGATGGCCTGCTGGAGCTGCTCGTACTTGGGTCCCCTGAGGTAGCGCGCCAGGCGGAGGCGCACCACCTGTCCCGTGGCTCGCAGCACGTCCACCGCGGCGTGGTTGCTCAGCCCGGCCAGGCTCCTCCCGTCAACCTGCAGGTGCGGCCCGGGAAAGTCACTCAGGGTACACAGCTGAGGTATTACCAGGTATATGGCATGTATATTGTGGCATTCCGAAAAATGTAACCTACTCGGGGAAAAAGCAACATGTACTCGGGATAAACGTACACATGAATATATATACAAATACATTCGAGCAGTCTGTTTTGCACACACACACACACACACACACACACACCACACACACACACACACACACACACACAACACACACACACACACAGAGAGAGAGAGAGAGAGAGAGAGAGAGAGAGAGAGAGAGAGAGAGAGAGAGAGAGAGAGAGAGAGAGAGAGAGAGAGAGAGAGAGAGAGAGAGAGAGAGAGACCGATAAAAGGATATACAATATACATATTATACACATGCGTACCATAAACAGAAACAAACAAACATCGCATAAGCCAATCCCACCAAGATGTAAGGATTATATAACGACTGACGAGAATATGATCCTCTCATTCGTATTTCAGTTATTCATGAATAACATTTTAAATGTTATGGGAATAATCATAAATTACGGTTACTTAATACGCTGCATTGTATTTGCAGGCTATGCTGCAGACGGTTGCTACGGATTAACAGAGCGCTTCAGAATCCGAAGACAAGCCCAGCAAAGCAGCCTGCGGTCAGAGGGTACAAAAACATCAGCCTCCGAGGCGGCGGTCGGCCTCTCGCTGGCAGCCGAGGCCCAGGGCGTCGCGTCACGGCAGCGGCGACAGTGACAAGCGAGCGGTGTCTGCACTAAGCCACTCCCAAGTCACCTGAAGGATGGTGCCGAGGCGACACTGACACATACCCTTTAACAGCATCACTCCGCGCTCGCAGTATCGGTGTGGCCGCCTCCCTACGTTCCGCCCCAGAGCACGACTGCGCGCGGCGGTGGCAGCGACGGCGATAAAAAAAAAACAATGGATAAACTTTTCCCGAGTTCATTTACCAGATATAATTATCGTTCGTCTCCGCTCTGCGCTCTACTGACGCTACGACTTTGATGAGGTTACACGCGAGTTCATCTTCACATTTACATCAGAGCCTTTTTTGCACCGACGCACGGACATCTGCGTCCCGTCTCACTCCGCCCCAGAACTTGTAGAAAAAGGACATGAAAAAAAAACGCCAAAAATATCTCAGACAAAAATCAATAAAGCACACAGTTACGCCGAAAAAAGAAACGAAATTAACAAACGCACACC